CCTGCTAGGAGAATGGTAGGAGAGAAATGAAAAATTGCATAAAGTGTAAAAAACGTTATGTAAGACACTATACCCTTCCCCCTCATCAAGATCTACCTCGAGAGAGAATTGAGAAAGCGGTACCGTTCAGAAGGATAGGATTGGACGAAGCAGGTCCATTTCAATTAAGAAATGAGAAAGTGCATGTGTTGTTGATTACCTGTCTGGCCACAAGGGCGGTACATTTAGAAATGCTGGAGAGCATGACGTCACTCGAGATATCGTTCGCGTTAAGAAGAATGATGGCAAGAAATCAGACACCCACTCATATCGTATTGGATAATCTAAGCTCGCACAAGCTTATGAGTAAGATATTCAAGAATGAACGAGGCAGTCAGGTCTTACCCCCACCACTTGAATACTTGAATCAGGTTCATCGAATTAAGTTTTCATTCATTACTCCTCTTAGTCCCTGGAAAGGAGGGATGTATGAAAGACTAATAGCATTGATGAAAGAAGGGATGAAAAAGTTTGAGGTGAAACCGGAAAGTAAGCAACAGTTTAGCACATTGCTGGCTGAAGTCGAGCATCTGATTAACACCAGACCGCTTTGCACGATAAGGGATGAACTCAACCACCCAATAACTCCTAAGAGTTTCTTATTCCCTTACCCACCAGTAGCCCCGAGAGAGGACCCTATTGTCGTGACATCAGCAGTCAAAACTGATGAGTTGAGGAAAGCGTGGAATGACGTTAAAAGAAACTTAGGAAAATTCTGGAAGGGGTGGACCATCGAATACTTGTCCATGTTAAGAGAAAGGAGTAAAATGTGTCAGAAGAGATCCACGTTTCCATTACCTGGGGAAATAGTATTATGCTCGGATAATCAGAGAGGTAGAAGTACATGGCATTTGGGAAAGGTTACCCAGATTATTCCTGACGAAAGAGGAGAAGTGAGAACCGTATATGTATTGCATCCTGATGGGAAGGAGTATGTAAGGAGTCCTATTCACTTATACCCCTTAGAATTGAGAGAGTCAGAAGAATAGTGTCTTCATTGTTTAAGTTGATGTTGTTATATGTATGAAGAGAACTAGAAGTAGATCTTATAGCAAGTGTCATGTATAAGTTTGTCCTTATAGTAAAGAATGGATGATAAGAAATTTGAAGAAATGCTCGAAGAAAACTCTGCTGATGAAGTCAGCAACCTCAGCCTTATTACCAAAGCCCTTGAGACTATTCAAGGACAGATAGGAGCGATGGCAGAATTTTTAAATTTAATGTATGAAGAAAACGAGAAAGATGTGAAGAACGTAGGAACACAAACGCCAGCTCATGGACCTTACAAACCAGACCATAGACAATATACTCAGTATAAGCCGAGACCTATTCACCACAATCGCAAGAATTGGGACAACCAAAAGCTCAGAGATGATATCAGAAGGGAATTTATTGAGAAATTGAAAATTTAAGATTTTGTCGTCCCTTTAAGAGAGGAACATGTGAATTACCACAGAATTGTTGACTGATAATATTGTTGTTTACGATGGATGTGAAGAGTCGTATATGAGCGTACCTTAGGGCATTTAGTGTTATGAAATAGTTTTTGGTGTTTATGAATGAGTTAGTCTTGTTACATCGCTGGTGAAGAACGGTTGAATAAACTAGTAGCTCTATATTCTTGGACTTATCTATATATTATCGACAAGAGACATCGTCGGAAGCGATTGGTAAGTTTTAGTTGTTAGAAATTCTTGTTTGGACGTATGATAGTGTACTAAGTCGTGAGAGGAATTAGAACATTTGGCTCCCCGGCTTAAATGTTAAATTGGTCTTTATTTAAGATTTTAAGATTTTGAGATTTTAAGTTTCCAAATTGTTACCAAGTTAAGCTTTAGTTCGCTTCAGTTCCCGCATATAAGTTATCATGCATAGTGATGAAAAGAAGGACAGCCCTCCGTCGCAACCTCCGTCGCGCTCTGAGTCTCCACCACAGGTTCTCCCCAAGCCATCACGTAGAGTAACGACGCCATTGAATGGAAGAAAGAATGGCATAAAATCGAAGTTGCGAGTACTTCGACAAGTGTTGCAGGTAGTTAACGAAGTACCATATGAAGCGGTAGAATTTATAGACAAGTGCGCACAACATGGACATCGATTGACGGCAGCATTACAAAGCGTAATTGAGTATCACACGCAGACGCCCGAATATCTAGCGGATAAGTTAGAGGAGGTAGACGCTGAGACATATGAGATAGCATGTGAATCGTATGAGCAATACGTGACTAAGCTAGGATATTACGATAGCGCAGCAGAAGCTGAAGTAGTGGTACAGTTAGTGGAATTAGCTTTGCATGATACCAGTAAGGAAGACGTTAGCTCGCCACCCTTCACTACTCCCCGAACGTCGAGAAGGTTAACACGCAGACAATCCGACGAGGACAGTATAGTGTCCTTAACTAATACGGTTCAGGTCAGTACACCCACGCCAACACCCTTAGATGAACCACAAACCGCACATGTTCAATCCACTCCAGTAGAAGAGTTAGATGTAAGTCAGTTGCAGTTGAACATGCACACAGTGGGAGGAGGCCACATAGGGCCAGCGAATGTGTCCAATATCAAACTCCCAGGGGTTACAATCCTTACGTTTGATGGAGATCCACTACAGTACGAAGATTTTATCGCAACGTTTGATTGTTATATCCACCATAACAGAACTTTATCGGACTTAGATAAATTCGTATATCTTCGTTCTGTATTAAGTGAAGACGCACGCACGACAGTAGAACATCTGCCCACGACAGCAGGTAGTTATCTCATCGCGCGCATGCTATTGAAAGATACGTATGATAAACCCGTCATGGGGGAGCAAGCTCTGTTTGAAAAAAATAGTAGCTGAGAAACCAGCTTCTCAAGAGCTGAGAGATCTGCAATTCTCTATAAGAAGAGTTAAAGCATTGATGGCAAGGTGGAAACAGCTCAAGCCCAACGCAGAAGATTCAGCTTTCCGCATGTACATCCTAGGCAAATACCCAGCGAACATTTTGAAACCTCTCTTTATGGAGGAAGCACAAAAACAGCAGCTTTTGCCCATGAGTGCGTTGATCAATAAGATAGAGCAGAAAATTGAAGTTTCTCTAGCCATGCAGAATGCACAAACACATGGAGAAAATTTCGAAAGAAAGAGAGAGGCCGAATGCTGCCCGTCTTTCCAGACGCACATATACGCTGCGAGAAATCAGAAATGTTTCTTCTGTACAGGTGATTATAAGGAAGAGCAATGCATAGACTTTCCGACACCACAGAGCAAGAGAGCATGTTGTTTAGGAAGGAAAAGACCGTCCTGCTGGATCTGCTTCACATCCGATCACAGTTCGAGGGCATGCAAATTACCACGATGTAGTAAATGCGGTCGGGATTATTCACATCTGTTATGCATAGATAAGAAACCAGGGTATAGACCTGTAGGAGAAAGAGCGACTGGAGCCA